AGAGAGAAAGTATGATTTTCGTTATTCTGTGTGTTAAAACTGAGGTCAAATGACTCCTTATATAGGAGATTAATAACAGAAATTAAAAAGACACAACGGTTTGAAAATTCCGAACGGGTTCAAACGTTCAGAAAGATTCTAACAGGTTTAACTGTTCAGAAAACTTTTAGAAGATTTTTGCTCGGGCCGCTGCCCCGCACCCCGCCCGCTGACCTGGCAACGGGACCCCAGCCAGGGGCTCTGCCCCGCACCCCGCCAGGGATTTCGCCCCTTGGAACCCCAGCGGGGCGCTGCCCCGCACCCCGCCAGGGACTTCGCCCCTTGGAACCCCTTTTCAATTATTCGCATTCAATTGCACGTTGGGTCAACGAGCGTGCACTCCGCACTACCCTAACTCGTCCAAGCTTAACGCATAATTGCATCGGCCTACAATAAATCACATTACTACTAAAATACATTGATGATACTAAAATTACCAACACAATATTTAAAATGACTGTCGTTTAAAATATAATTTTGTACATAAATTAAAGAATATATAATTATAAATATTTTATTTTTGTTAAACTATTTTGAAGAAGGGTACAAAATAACAATTAAATAACACAAGTAATAAATAATAATTATTTTTATGTTAAAAAATGAGAATGATTAATTATTTTAAAATATTTTTTTAAAAAAACTATAGTTATTTTAAATTTGAAAGAATATTTAGAATTCAGGGTTTATCATTTAGGAAGATTATAATTTTTTAATATTAAATAATTAGGATTTCTACTATGTAGTATTTTAATCACATGTATAATATTATGGTTTAGATTATAGAGGTATTTTTGGACTTTCTTATTGTTAAGATATATCGTTCTAAACAATATTAGCCTGCTCTTTTTTTTTTAAGTTTGTCCTTCTTCTTTGTCTACTAGATAATTGAAATGAAAATAAAATATAGTTTTTCATTTTTTTTTAATTATTTTATATTAAGTTATAAGTGCATGTTTGATATATGTTGCAAGTCACTTAGAGTTATAAGTACATAATAAGATCAATTAGTTAAGCGACCTTTCAGAAAAACCAAAAGGAAACTTTTTTTTCATAAACTTCCATTTTCCGTACAAATGGAATCTGTTAATATTTTAATAGTTTTAATGCAATTATGTTAGAGTTTTATTGCTTGAACATTCTTTCCCCTCACTCAACTTTCTGCCTAACACCTCTTACTAACAAAAAGTAGAAGCAGCAACTCGTTTTAAGACACAAACAGATACATTCTTTTCTATATTAAAACTAATTAATCTCAAGAATATGGTTGTTTGTGACATCTTTATAAATGAACATGTGTTAATTTTACTTTTAATAAAATAAATAAATAATTCAGTAGAAATATTATAGGGGGCCGAAAAAATTAATTTATATATTATTAATATGTATAAAATAATTTTACATATTATTTTAATCACATTTAACACACACATATATATATATATATATATATATATATATATATATATATATATATATATATATATATATATATATATATATATATATATATATATATATATATATCATGAAATATCTAAAAGATAATAAATTATATAAAAAAATTATTGAATGTAAATTATATAATTTTAAATTATTTTAATAAACTTTATTTTATATTTATAGTACATAATTATAATAAAAAATATTACTTAGGTTATATAATAATAATAATAATAAGTTAATAAAAAACTTAAAGATAAAAACTCAATTTTTTTTTCCAGAAACGATTTCCAGCCAATCTCTGGCAAAACACACCTAGCGCACAAGCTTGTGGTTGACGGTGAAACTCGATTCAGGCTAGTTTAAACTCCTAGTGCATGGACTAGGGACAACCTGAAGAAAGTAGAATTATATAATCAGGAGCAATATGGGTCGTGCGAGGGGGAGAGCAAAAAGGAACAAGGTTCCTTCACCAACAATCTTAACCACACTCTTGCAACAAAGTATTCACTACAAGAAAAGTTGTGTTCAGCCACGTAATTTAGTGAAGTGAAAATCACGTGGCAAATATTGACAGTTGTGAAGTGATTTTCACGTCAGTAATATGTTTAATATTAAAATAATATGAAACAAATGTAGCACATGGCCTGTCAGATTTAAAAATAAAAGAAAACGTTTGCGACGTTAAATTCACTTCACTAGGATTTTATTTATGGCATGCGTGCCAATTTTTCAGACCACACTTATTCCAATTTTTTTTCTCTTTCTCTCTGTTTCTTCTTCTTCCACAATTTGTTCCATTCTTTGTTTCCTCTTCTCCTTTATTCTTCTTCTTCTAAATTTTTTCTTTATTTTTCTTGAGTTATTTCTCCTTTGTTTCATTGCTTGTTCAGGTAACATATATTTTTATTTCAAATGGTTATTGTTGAATCTATTTTTATTAATTTAGTTTAAAATATAATTTTATATGAGTTTAATATTTATTTTTGTTGTTGTCAAATTATCATTGTTATGGAGAAAAGAAAACAAAAAGATTGAAGAAGATATTGTCTAGAAAATTGAAGGAGTGTGAAGAAGAGGTATTTTTGCTATTTTATTTTTTATTTTAGTTTGATTTATTAATTTTGGATTGTTGTTAGATATATAATTTTCTGTATGTTTATATTATTATTATTATTTATTATTAAAAAATGATTTTTGTTATTAGAAATAGAATATTATATTTAGAAATAAAATATTAAAAACAAAAATATATTATTTGTAAAATTTTATTTATTTATTGGTTATAAAATATTAAAAACAGAATATTAATAAAATATAAAAACAGAATATTAAATTTATTGTTAATGTTTTATTATTTTTAATATTTATGTGTTATTAAAAACAAATTTTTATATATAGTAACAATATTAAAAATTGAATATTAACGATATTTTTAATTTTTATGTGTTATTAAATTTATTTATGTTTTATTACTTTAAAACTGAATATTAAAAACTAAATATCTTATTTTTAATGTTTTATAGAAACAATATTATATTTATATTATTATTATTATTATTATTATTATTATTATTATTATTATTATTATTATTATTATTATTATTATTATTATTATTATTATTATTATTATTATTATTATTTGTTATTAAAAACAAATTTTTGTTATTAGAAATAGAATATTATATTTAGAAATAAAATGTTAAAAACAGAAATATATTATTTTAAATATTTTATTTATTTTTTGGTTATAAAATATCAAAAACAGAATATTAATAAAATATAAAAACAAAATATTAAATTTATTTTTAATGTTTTATTATTTTTAATATTTATGTGTTATTAAAAAATTTATTTTTGTAAAATATTAATTACATTTTAGTATATTATACACTTTTTATTTAAAAAAATTTATTCTTAATTTTGATATTTATTTATATTTATTAATTTTTGTTATTTATATTTATTAATTTTCCAATTTGAACTATTATTAAAATTAATTTAAAAATAATTTGTATTTATTAAATTGAGTGGACAAACTATAATTATAATTTTAAATAAAAATATAAATTATTTTTAAACCTACCAAAAAATTAATTAATTTAAAAAAATTATAAAAAAAAAACTTAGCCACCTGATATTCACGTCGCAAGTTGTGAAGTGAAAATTACTTCGCAAGTTGTGAAGTGAAAATCACGTCGCAAGATGTGAAGTGAATATCACGTCACAAGTTGTAAAGTGAAAATCATGACACAACTATATTGTTTTATTTATTGCGACGTGAAAATCATGTGGCAAATTTGTGACGTGATTTTCACGTGGCAACAAAGTTGCCATACGTCCTCCTGCCACGTGAATAGTCACGTCGCTAATATCAGTTTGTGAAGTGATTTTTCTTGTTGTGAAGTGAATTTTACGTGGCAAGATCCTGTTTTTTGGTAGTGATTAGCAGAGATGATTCTGAGAGGGGATCAACAATGGGTACTGAATCCAACTCGGGGAAGTGTTGTAAGGAGAAGAAAGAAGCCCTAGAAGAAAAATCGGAGGTTGCTACTTCGGTGAACAACGAGCCAAACATTGAGATCACTAAAGAAGTGCAAAAACCCAAAGCTATAGGTGAACGTCATCAGCGACAACAAGATGCCTTTGAATGAGGCCTCAATTGAATTTGTTGCTCCCAACCTAGTAGAAGGGGAATTTGAGGTTGACATAGAACTTGAGGTAAGTTTTTGGACTCTGCTTTAATCATGTATGTTATAGGTAAAGAGCTAAGTATGAATGTTGTCAAACAATATATGATTAAGTTTTGGAATGTTGTTCAACTTCCCGATATTTACTATCATGATAAGGGGTATTTTCTTATAAAATCTAAATCCCACAAAGATAAAGATTTAGTAGTCATGAGAGGAGCCACACTATCCAAAATATGCTAATGGTTTTGAAACATTGGAACCCTGATTTTGACTTTAAGAGGATATGTTGAGAACCTTACCAGTTTGGGTGAAACTACCTAACTTGCCTTTACATTTATGGGGGACTGGAAGCTTAGGTAAAATAGGTAGTGCACTAGGAAACCCTCTCTTCACTGATGAGTGCATGAGAAACAAGTTAAGAGTGTCCTATGCTAGAATACTTGTGGAAATAGATGTAACACAAAAACATAAGGATTATATCACTATTAAAGACAATTATGCTAATAAGAGACAGCAGACAGTTGAATTTGAATGGAAACCAACCTTCTATGAATCTTGTCAAAAGGTTGGACATCAATGCAAACTAAAAGGGAAAAAATAGTGGCAGCCAAAGGCCCTTCAAAACCAGAGTCAAGTGGAACAAACAAAGACCCCATAAGTAATAGAGGATTCTGAAGAGACCAAAGGTTGGGAAAATGTAAGAGTTAATGGGAGAAACAAATGTAAGGGTATTATGACTCAATACAACCAAGAGGATATTGCTTGCAAGAATGGCTTTGAGGCCCTTGGGATTGGGGATCCTGGGGGTTCAAGCGCATGCCAATCATGATAATATCTTGGAATGTTAAGGGGATTAATAACTCAGGGAAATGTCATGAGGTTATCTCCCACCTCAAAAACCTTAACCCTGTTATGGCTATATTAATTGAAACTAAAGTTAAGTTCAGCAATGTCAAGAAGGTGATCAATAAATTTGGTAACAAATGGCAACTGATAAACAACTATGTGAATCACAATAATGGTAGGATATGGATTCTTTGGGATGACACAAGAATTAAAGTTGTTAACCATGGTTTCCCTGCTCATCACATTCATTGCAGTCTTCACTATCCTACTGGTGAGCTAATAAACGGGTGTACAACTATTTATGCTCACGATCAACTATAACAAAGGAAGCAATTATGGAAAGACATAGAGAACATTCATAGTACCATTACTGGGCCTTGGTTCCTCATGGGAGATTTCAATAATGTCTTGAGAGCCTAAGATGGTGGGAATATGGTGCATGAAAATGAATATAAGGATCTCATTGCAATGATGAAGCATACTAACCTATTTGAAAAGACTCAATAGGGGACCATTTCACATGGACCAATAACCAGAGAAATGTGATGATATACTCAAGGATAGATAGTGTCCTGGGCAATATTACCTGATAGAAGTAAACCATTAATACCACTCTTTGTATCATGAATCATAGTGTGTCAAATCATGCCCTCTTGTGTCTTAAACAAACTGGTACTAGCAAAGTCAATAGAACTCCCTTCAAATTCCAAAATATTGTGACTATTAAGCATAATTATCATGAAACTATGATGTAGATATATAATGAGCCTATTGAGGGTAGCCCTATGTATGTGTCCTTTGGAAAAAATTACAAAGACTGCAACCTGTCATCAGAAGCATGAGTAATACCTTCAAAGGCATAAATCAACAGCTGGTGAAAGCTAGAAATAATCTGGAGTTGGCTCAATCTAAATTATTGGTGGATAGAATGAATGTGCATCTGATTGATGAGGTCAAACAATGTACAAAAGAGGTTATCAAATTAGGGGATATTAAGGAAAAGATCTTGAAGCAAAAGTCTAAGGTTCACTAGATTAGACTTGGGGATGGCAATAATGCCTATTTTTATGCCTCCCTAAAGTCTAAAAAGAACCAGTTTCAGCTCAATAGTCTGAAGAATGAATACAGTGTCACTCTTAGCCAGCAATCTGAGTTTGAGGAAGAGATTTCTAATCTCTACACAAAGCTTATTGGCACTGCCCAAACCAGTGTTATGGGTATTGACATTGTGGCTTTGAGAAATGGTTCCCAGTTGGATAGTGATCAAAGGAATACCCTAATAAAACCTATAATAGAGGAAGAAGTTTATTCTAGTCTCAAAGGTATTAAAGACATTTCTGCTCTAGGTATAGATGATTACAATGCCAAATTCTTCAAAAGCTCCTGGAACATAATAAAGAAGGACCTCATCAAAGTTTTCAGATATTTCTTTGAAAAGGAGAAGTTTTATAGAGATATCAATTGTACCTTAGTGACCTTCATCCCTAAGACTAACACTGCAGAGATGGTCAAAGATTACAGGCCTATCACATGTTGCATTGTCATATACAAGATTATCTCTAAAGTTATGGCTAAGAGACTTGGAAATGTTCTTGGAACCATAATACATAGCAACCAAGCTGATTTTGTCCTAGGGAAGAAGATTCATAACCATATCTTATTAGCATATGAGTTGATTAGAGGCTATAGTGCTAAGAATGGCACTCCCAAGTGCATGATTCAAATGGACCTCCAAAAGGCCTATGATACAGTGGAATGGGATGTGTTGGATGGAATGTTGAGAGAGCTCAACTTTCCTAGTAGATTCATAAAGTGGATCATGCTTACAGTGAGGTATGCGTCCTACAAGTTCCAAGCCAATAAAGTGCACACCCAAACTGTGGAAGCCAAAAGAAAGCTAAGACAAGGAGACCCCTTCTCTCCTTTGCTCTTTGTCATCATCATCATGGAGTATTTGAATAAACTCTTCCAAAAGCTTAGAAATATTCCAGATTTTAACTTTCATTTAAAATGTGAGAATTTGGGCATTACCAACCTCAACTTTGCAAATGATCTCCTCCTTTTCTCAAGGAGTGATCAAAAATCTGTTGAAATGCTTATGCAAACCTTTGATGTTTTCCTTTAACTAATTACTGGCTCTAATGTCTCCCTCTTCCCAAGGAAATTTTTAGAAATATTGATAGCCTTTGTAGATCTTTCCTTTGGACTGGTGCAGAGAAAGTGAACAGAAAATATCCTATTGCTTAGAGCAAGGTGTGTTCCCATATGAGAAATGGAAGGCTCAACATTACTAATATAGAGTAGTGGAACAAAGCTTGTCTTATGAAACTCCTTTGGAACCTTCATAGCAAGTCTGATAGCATGAGGATCAAATGGATCCACTGTTATTATATGAAAGAGAAAAGCATATGATAATGAAAAATAGTTCATCCTGGATTTTGAAATCAATTTTAAATCTTAGAGAAACAGTCACTAACAACACTGCTTGGAATGCTATGTTGCATGTTAACAGATTTCATACCAGAACCTTGTATGCAGGAATAGCAGAGGAAGTTCAAGATGTCAGTTGGAGGAGTATTTTCTACAAGAATATTGCAAGACCTCGTGCCTTATTCATCCTTTGGATGGCTTGCCACAGGAAACTTGCCACCTAAGATAGGCTTGTTAGATTTGGCCTGCTGAACAATGATATTTGTAGCATGTGTGATGATAAAGAATCCATTGACCATCTCTTCTTTCAATGCATGAAAATGAAGACAATTTGCGGGAAAAAGTTTGTAGTGGATGATGATAGATCATAGGCCAGGGGTTGAATGCAAAAAATCAAGTGGATTAGTGACAAGAACAAGTCCAAGACAAGCAAAGTGAAGATTTTAAATTGTGCCCAGGCGGAAACCATTCATGAACTTCGGAAGCTTAGAGATGATAATTGCTTTAAGAATGAAACTAGTGAGGCTTATATTGAAGGGAGAACCATAGGCAACATCATTTATAAATGTTGGAACCACCCTAAACTTAGGAAAAATATTTTTAATCTTATGATGCCTTAGTCTTCCTTGTTAGGCTTGTTCTTTTGTTTGCTGGACCATTTGTGGTCGCTTGAATCTTATCGTTTTTTGTTCAATAAAATATAATTTCTTTTAAAATAATAATAATAATAATAATAATAATAATAATAATAATAATAATAATAATGATGATGATGATGGGTAGCAAAGACTAATTTGTCAAATTAAAAAAATCTATGATGATGGTTAATGGACAATAAATCTCTTTCTCAAAAAAATTTATCACTACTACGTATTTTGGGTTGAGTTCAAACACAAGACATCTTATTAAGTTAGAAAAAATATATTAACATTTCAATCAAGTGCTCTTAAGTAAGGGTGAAAAACGATCCCAATTCGTCGAGCATGTTCATTTTACCTATTTTTCGTGGAACGAATCAAGATTTTAGATCCACATCCCCTAATATATCTACATTGACCCATCCTGTTTTTTTTTGCAAGCTTTTGCAGACGTAAAAAATAAAATAAAATATGTAATTTTTAGATTTAAAAGTGCAATGCTCACGAACCCGCGCAATCTCGTCCTTATTTTTTTTGTTGAAGATAGGATGATTTTCGATTCACATCCTCAAATATACCTATTATATTAATTTTTAGAATTTTGTGAATATGAGGGCGGGCATGCAGATTTTGTCATTTCTTACTCCCTCTGTCATAAATTATAAATCATTTTGTCAAAAAAAATTTGTCTCAAATTATAAGTTATTTTACAATTCCAATGCACATTAATGACTATTTTCTCAACATACCCTCTATTATTTAGTATTACTATTTCTTCTTTCAATTCTTTAAATTTCTTTTTCATCTATAATAAATAAAGAGCGATATTATAAAGTAATAGATAATTTCTGTTTTTTATATAACAATAATTATGTTTCTTAATTTGCATAAGAGTTAAATATGTTTCTGGTCCTCCTAAATATCTCAATTTTCGGTTTTAGTCTCTCAAAATATTTCCTTCAAAGAATGATCCTCTTATAATTTTTCATCCACACTTTTGATCCCTCTTACAAATTAGCGACAATTTTTACAATTTAACGACAAAATTAACGACAATTTTAACGATAATTTATTACTTAACGATTAAATCAGCGACGATTTTAGTATTAAAGATAAAAAATGTGAATAAAAAAATTTAAAAAGATCATTCTTTAAAAAAATATTTTAAAAAACTAAAAATAAAATTATAATATTTAAAGACTACAAACATATTTAACTTTTACACTATAGCAATATTTAGTTTTACCTCAAAAGTAATTAATTCTAAAAGACAAAGTTTTTGAAGAAGTATATGTTGAAGATTTCAAGAATGCAGTGATGTAAGTGGTGCCTTTACATTAATTAGGCTGCCACCCACTTAAACTACTGATCATATTCAGAATGTAATTGCATAAAGTAGTATTCAACTCCAATGGTCCCAAGATAATCAATTTCAAGACACTAAGGTAGGGTGTCAACAACATACTCAAATTCATATCTAGATATCAAGATCACAAATATTAGTAGTCACAAATTTAATTCTAACTCAATCACTTGAACTAACAAGATATATATTCCAGCTAAGTTTTCATTTTGAAACCTACACGTTTGCATATAGTACATGACACATGCAATGAGATGGAGTTGATCATTTATTTCGTGTCAAAGTCAAATATATTGAAACTTAGGTGTCAAATTTATACATAGTGAAACTCAAAACAAGAGTAGCTTAGGTTTCTGCTATAGCTCATTAAATTTGTTGATGCAATAACTTCTTGTAATAAATTTCTATCTAGTCTAGTAAAAAAAAATGTCTGAGTAATGTTTTTTTTATTATGATAGTTTATTTATTTTGATTTTAGTTTTATCAACATTTTTATTTTACTTTTACTAGAATTCTTAGAATTAATTTTTATTAAAATTGATCATATAATATATAGAATATTTATTTTGGTCTTTGTATCACTACTATTAAAAAAAGACTAAAATTAAATATTTTATATATTATAAAAATTTTAAGCATAAAAAATAAAATAAAAAATGTTTACAAAAACTAAAAGAACCATATAAATAATTATAAAGACTAAAATTAAAACTAAAATATAATATACTTACAAGAATCAAATACATATTTACACTTCTAAAAAATATAATTAAATTTAAATATATTCATTAAAAAACTAAAAAAATGCATTCTAACTTTGTATTAATTTAGTGTATTTATTGGCATAACATAAAAGTCAACTTCTATGGGGTCTTCCTTTGACAATTTCTCAGACACAAATAAATGTGATTGACTTACCATTAAAGTTGACATTTTTTAAAACTATTCATAAAATATAAAAGTTACAATTTCTTTTCCAATAAGGCTACATTTTAATTTCCAACTTATGTTTGACATTGTCTCTTTATTATCTTTGACCAGTCTTAGATCTAAAATTAATACAAAATATAATATATATATATATATATATATATATATATATATATATATATATATATATATATATATATATATATATATATATATATATATATATATATATATATATTAAATTTTAATTATATAATTAAAATTTTATTGGGGGTAGAAGTATCAATAAAGAAATCTAGGAGTATCTCCAATATTTTTTTTTTTTATATAATCTTAATAAATTGTTCTAGTTTCACTAGCACTAAGTTATTCTTAATTATTTACACACTTTTTCTCTAATGATAAAAAAAAAATATATCTTTTATATAATGGTAAGATATGTTATTATAAAAAATTATAACAATGATGGTCAGATGTATTCCAACATATTGTGTAGATGAAGGTTAAAATAAAGCTTTTCATATAGAAAAATAAAATAAAATTTCTTTTTAAAAAAATATTTGATAAATAATTTAAAATACTATTAATTATTTATATTTATTAAAATAATTTAATTAATTAAGTTTTAAATTTTTAGATAAATGAAAGAGAATAGAAAAAAATAAAAATATAATATGAACTAGCAAAAAGAGATCTAAAGTCACTTAATTTAATTGTTTATTTCCACTTTTTATTATCTATCTTATTTATATTCAATTAAGTTCTAATTTTATTCAGTTTATATATTTTAAAATTAAATAAAAATAAAATTTATTATCAAAATAAAACTTAGTATTGCATAAAATTAAAATGGATGATAATTATTTTATTTAACTTTAAGTTGTAGTATAAATTATCTTTTTTTCTGCAAATAGAGAACACTACTCTTTAACTAATAAAGACACTCTTCTAATAAATACTCTTAAATTTAATTGGGTATCGGTATTTTTATTCAATGAAATATTTATATTCAATGTCATGTCATTTTTTATATATATTTTATTTAAAAATTAAATTAATATTTTAAATCATTTTAAACTAAAGACACTAATATCCAACTACTTATTATAGATATCTATGAATTTACCTAAAACTAATTTGTCTGTGTAAATAAAAAGAGTCACTCATTTTTGCAATATTAAAATGTGAAAGAAAAAATATTCAAATTGTGACAATGAGAAGCGTTCACTTTATGACTATGTCCTATAAAAATGCCATCGTTTAATATTTTAATTATGTGAATATTATGTTTTGTTTTATTTTAAACTTAAGACACATAAACAATAAATTTGTATTTTAAATATAAATTAGATATAAAATAAGGCTTTTGGCTACATTAGATTTTGCCCCGCTATGACATTTAGAGATTTGACACAAATAAATTTTAAAATTATAATAATTTTTTATTTTTAATTGTTCTTTCATTCAATCTTTTGTTAAAAAAACATAAGATAATGTATTAGAACATTATCAAACATAAAAAATAAATCAATTTTATTGTGATTGGATCAAGTAGAAATATTATATTCACTCCAATACAAAACATATAAAATTGAAGAAAATAAAGAGATACAAAAAAAAGTTGAAAAGGTATGCATATTCCTTAATCCCTACCCCATGTTTTCTAAATTTAGCATAAAAAATACAATTAATAAAAAGAAGTAAAATAATTAAAATAGAAAGTAAAGCACTTGTAGAAAGTATTTTTTAAAATAAGTGCTAACAAAAAAAATCCAATACAAACCCTTATGTGAGGAATAATTTATATGACACATATTGATCATAAATTTTTTATAAATAGAGGACCTCATATTTTATACATTTTTTTACACAATCTCATGATTACAATGTGATAATATTTTGTGACACCTTAATAATATAACACCTCAAATAACTCTTTATCTTATTAATTTTTCAATTTCACTGGCACAATTTAAATGATTTGATTTTTTTTTTCTGTTCTGAAATTAGAATTAGGTATATATTAATGGTTAGGAATCTTGAACCGATTACTGACCTCTGATACAACGATATGGAAGTGGACCTGCAAGGTTAACACTCCAACTCCCAAATTAAATCAAAATTCAAGATAAATGTAGTAAAAAGTGGAGATCACAAAGTCAACCTTGAACTTCTCGTGAGGTGGATTTTATACCTTAGATCATAAGAAGTGGATTGACATTAGTTTATGCCTTGATTTCTTGGATCTTTGGGCGACCAAGAACAATTTTTGCCAAGGTTTGTTGGGCGGTAATTAGTCGAGGAAGTCTCAGTAGTTATGGTCGACCTCTGAGGATGTTGTTCACTTTAGATCATAAGTGGAAACACCTTGGGTCAATTGCAAAAGTAGTGGACGGACAGGTGCGTTAAATTTATTATCATCATTGAAACATTTCATTGCTCCTTTTTTATGCATGGCTTGATGTGACTAGTTAGGCCATGAAGCTTCTTATAGTGTACTTGAGTTTGTTTAAGTTTTCAAGGAGAAATCTATTCGTAGATTTGTAACCTCCCATTCCTATTAATATGGTTTGTTGTTTTCCTTCCTATATATGTGTCATTTTAAGCATTGATGAAACTTTTTGCAACCTTTGAGAGTCAATTTCTATTTGTAAGTGCCTTCTTCCCTTCCTTCCTAAGAGTATTTACC